CAAACCATTGGCCTCAGAGCTGAACGCCAGGCCAAGATCTGTGCATGGCAGTTCACAATTTTGGATTTGTCCAGCTCTGACTGTAGTAATATTTTAAAGAGTATTGCCAGTGTAGGAGTAAGCGCAAGGAATGAGTTAAATCACAGAATGGCTCTTTCAAGTTCAAGAGGCAGGCTTAATAGCAAACTGGCTATGTGATACAAAATACAAGCAGAAACCAGACATGAAGGTGAACTGCCGGAGGGGCTTACATATTTCAAAGTGGGACAAGGGGGAGGGAAGTGTAATTATATCTTATAGCAACATAGACAAGCCAAAAGAATACCTGCAGCACCTGAGCATAATAACAGAAACTCCAAGGAGGAGAGGATTGAGAAGATTAACCCTATTCAGCTTAACACCTACAGCATCCTGGCATCTCTGTGGAGTAATGAGTGATGGTCCACACAATATTAATAGTAGGCTCTTTGTCTAAATTATTGGGTATATTGTGATAAAAACAGAAATTTTGCTTCATATTTGTGTAGTTCAAGGGTGGGCAATATGTGATCTCTGGACAGAAATTGTAGAGATCCAATTCATGCTTGCTGATTTGGATCCCTACAATTAAAATTAAATTCTTCAAAAAACTTCCGGTTTATGAATGTGGGATATTGTGCTTCAGTACCCACGATTCGAAAAGCCAGGAAATAGCCCAATATTGCTGCAAAATATCGTGCCCATGTTGGTTGCCAACAGGAAAAAGGATGCCAAGCTTTACATAGCTCAGGGCAGCCGGAATGTTGACAAAAATAATGAATGAAGAATCAGAAATTTTGTGTTCCTCAAGAACACCTATAAGCACATGCCATTCACCTTTCTTTGACATATCCATCTAAGACTTCTTCCCAGTGATCATGTGACATGAAACATGATCTGGGTAAACTTACTTGTGATTAAACCAGGTAAACTTACTCATGAGTAAACTGGGTAAAATTTGCTTTCAGATCATCCCCAGCCACAAAACAGAAACAAAAACAGACAACCTCCACCCACAAAAAACAGTAATTTCACAGCTTAAATGAATGAGGCGCTAAATATTATATATATCTGTAAATATCTTCACAAGCAGTAGATAAAAATGTCTGAGCAGGAAGGAATTAACCAAGTTCTTTCTCAGTCATACAGTGGCAGGATCAAAAGTTCAATCTTGTTTAGAATGCTGGGAATTTATAAGAGAAAGCTAGTAAACGAAATTAAATGACACCTGCTTCTTGGGAGGAAAGCGATGACAAACCTTAACAGCATCTTAAAAAGCAGAGACATCACCTTGCCAACAAAAGTCCGAATAGTCAAAGCTATGGTTTTTCCTGTCGTGATGTATGGATGTGAGAGCTGGACCATAAAGAAAGCAGACCGCCAAAGAATTGATGCCTTTGAATTGTGGTGCTGGAGGAGGCTCTTGAGAGTCCCCTGGACTGCAAGGAGAACAAACCTATCCATTCTAAAGGAAATCAACCCTGAGTGCTCACTGGAAGGACAGATCCTGAAGCTGAGGCTCCAGTACTTTGGCCATCTCATGAGTAGAGAAGACTCCTTGGAAAAGACCTTGATGTTGGGAAAATGTGACGGCAAGAGGAGAAGGGGACGACAGAGGATGAGATGGCTGGACAGTGTCTGCGAAGCAACCAACATGAATTTTACACAATTACGGGAGGCAGTGGAAGATAGGAGGGCCTGGCGTGATCTGGTCCATGGGGTCACGAAGAGTCGGACACGACTAAATGACTAAAAGACGAGTAATGGGTTCACTGGGGAATTGTTTTTGTATAACAGGTGGCTGTATCTATATTTTGTACAGGCCCCTTCTGTATTTTGTTTTGTACTACGTTTCCATGATGCTTTTATTGTTTGCCATTGACTACCTTGGAAGTCACATTTTCGGTCTAAAAGTGGGAGAAAAATTCTTCTGACAAGGAACAAATGCAATATGCAGATCACATGACCTGGCCACACTACATTCTCCAAGAGCCGCTGCAATGTGCACTTGGACAGCATAATAGTATAATCTGGAAATTCCCTCCCTGTGGAGGTGCAATTGGCCTCCACCCTCCTGAGCTTCCTTTTTTAAAAAAGTATTTATTTAAGGACAGGGTAGGGTATACAGAAAGTAAGGGGGAAATAGGGAAAAGGGAAAAAGGGTTAGGGGGATAGGAGAACACAGAGTATACAATCATCCGATCAATTCATTGCTTATGAGCTTCCATAAGCAAGTGAAAACCTGGCTTTTTACCCAGGCCTTTACAAACCTTACCCCTTTGTAATGCTGATTTTGTATTGAGTTAATGCCGGCCCATGGTTCACCAAATGGATTGTTGATTTTATATGTTAATGTTTTTTCTTAATTGTTGTATAGTATATTTTTGTTATTTTCCTGGAAGCTGCCTAGAGTAGTGGCTTACCCACTAGGGTGGGGCACAAGTTTAAACAAACAAATAAAAACAAAAATTGCCAGCAAATCCATCACTGTTACATAGTTGCTCTTACAAAATCATCCTCCACTTAGTAGCTGTTTTCCTAAACATCTCTTGGAGGCTAACAAACATGTTTTAACAAGTCCCCACTTGGCGCTGAATCTCTCATATCAGATTGATATATTATGAATTATACCCACACTGCTGATTTGATTTGCCTACAAGGCAATGTGAGGCAATAGCACCACCTTCAGGAAAACCTATAATAGGTAATCTAGTTTTTTATCAGAATTATTTTCACCTGTAAATTTCACTTACAATATATATTTTTTAAAAAATCATATTTTCCTATAATAATAATAATTAATATAAAATGTAGAATTTCAATGTAAGTTTTAAAAAGCATGTTCCTGTTTCTGCAGCTTCACCAAGGAAGAGTCCTACTCAGCAATGTCTACAGAAACAATGATGTGGCCTCCGTTACCTTCCATTTTTCTCATATTTCCTGGAACTGACCACCAGTTAGTGTAGAATCTAGTCTTGATCAGTTCTAGAAATTGAAGAAGCTCTCTGGGCTCACTGTAAAGAACAATGCAAACCTTTGGAAGCCTACCTAAAATGTAGCAGTAGTACTAGTAGAGTCTGCTGCAGCAGCAGTGGTGGTAGTGATGGTGATGATGTCATCATCATTGCTAGTTATTTATTATGCCTTTGACCTGGCCAAACCAGGCCAGTTCTACCTGATCAGCATAAGAACACATAAAACCAACACCCATTAATTCAGCCCATTGGTCTATTTAGTCTATTACTGTATATACCTATAACTTCCAAAGTATGATCTGGAGAACATAACATTTTGGAATGTACACCCCATTTCTCCATGTGAACATCAATCCTGGAAGAAAAGCTTTCTGGCAGCTTTTCTACCACTACAATGCTGATCCTCCTCCAGTAACAGGGAAGACCACAGTATCCCTTGATATGCTCAGGCATGGCTGGCCGATGCACAGATGAAAATTGGGCAACCATCCAACTGGGCAACTAACATTTCATTGGTTATCTGCCTCAACCAGGGCATTTTTCAAGAACAGAAGCTTTGCCTGAGAGTTGTTGAGGAGGTCTGGCCAAGGTGGCAGAGGGACTGCTGTCTTTCCCAAAAACTAGTGTACCCAGTAAGACAGAATTGTCTCAGGCAGTGGACATTGTCAGACCACACTGCTCACATCTGGAGTCTTAATCTATAGAAAAACTTATTTTCCTTAAGATCAACCAAGGATTGCTGGGTTTCTCAGAGTGCTATTTAAGGAGAAGAGAATGGCACACTCTGCTCACAGTAATAGGATGTCATGCTTCAGTCTGCTGCTCCCTCCTTCTGCCTCTTTCGTTCTCATTCTTCCAACTGCTACTCTGAGATTGTGCTCAGTCACTCAATGGTGCTGTGCGCCATGCTCTAGGCACAGTTCCCACCCACCACAGGCTACCTCCTGCTCCAATCTGCCTGTCCGTGCTGCCCGGGGTATTTTCCCAGTCCCCAATGAGACTTGTCCTCTGCTTCCTCAGTGCTGCTGGCATTTCCTGCTGGCTCTCCCACTGTTCAAGGTTCAATCATTATACCCACTGCAATCATTTCCTCACTGCTGGCCGTTCATGTGCACTCTTTTTGTTTGGCACAAGTCAGAGGACCCAGGGAAATCCTTTTAAAATGTTTTTATTTGTGAGGATTTTTTTAAAAAGAAAGGTTAGTTAATGACTATATAGTGTTCACATAGACTGTAATGCTGTTCAGGATATCTGGAAATCCAGAATTTTTAAAATTCAAATTCTGAATCCAAAAGACTGTAATTCCAAATTCTCAATCTGTTGGTGCTAATGCACCCCTCCCTCATTGTTAACATCTTTCCCCACCACCCACCAGTAATGCATAACAAGGTAACACAGCTGAACGTATATATTACAAAATGTACTTTCTGAATGTACAGAAAGTACAGCTTGTAATATAGATTATTATTCTTCAAAAGAAGCTGAGCATTTTCCTGCTTGTTAAAGATAACTAGTGGACAATTTATGAACAAAACAAAGGGCAGAATGAAGCTGAAGGACACTGGTTTTTAAAAACTTGGATTTTAGTAGGAAAGATTTTGGAAACATAATTCTTACACTGAAATCACTGAGACTCAGAAGTACTTGGCTTTGATAGGATCATGCACCAGGCATTTTCTAATCAATATGGACCACTTTTGGTAATGCAGAATTTTTAAGATAATCATTAACATTTGGAGAGAAGAAACATGTTTAAAAATCTTTCATCTTACCTATGTGTTTCCTCTGTGTGTGTATGCCTCTCTCTTGTAAACATGTACAAATTGTAAGGTATCCAAAATGTTGGTTGTGCAGAGGACAGAGTGGAAGTACCATTTTGTGATGATACATTAATATTAATTATATTGGATAATATTTTCTGATTTTATTATTGCATTTTATCACAAGTTGCTTTTCAAAAGCTCCTTGGATTCTGGAATAATAACTTTTAAAAGGTCATTTTCTTACCCACAGTCATGCCATCCATGTAGCGCTTGATTATATCAAAAGAATCCCGTAAATTTCCTTCTGTTATGTCAAATATAATGTCTGCCTGATTGGCTGGGTATGCTGGTGTGATAGCCCGAAGGAAAATAATCTCTGAGGAAGAAAAAAGATACCATTAAGTTGAGCACAGAAATGGAGAAACATTGCGGTTGGAGTGAAGTAAGCTATTCTAGCAATTGCTACTAGATAAAGAGAAAAGGCCTCTTCCTACATAGAGAACTCTCTTCTGTTATTCACCAATCAGAGCAGTACGCAATGCGGGGATCTTAGCTGTAGCTCCAGGTTAGGGAGTGCCCTCCTTTTGGAGGCCCAAGTGGTGTCAACATCACTCTCATTTTGCTGACGAGTGAAACCTGCCAGTTTATCCAAACATTCAAGGCCAAGAGAGAGATCATGGGTTGGTTTTCAATCGATCAGAGTTTTTTCTTTTTTTTATTTTGTTTGAATTGTTAACTTGGTTTAAAGTGGTTTACGTTTTTTTCAAAGTGCTTGAATAATTTGCGATTCTTTTAAGGCGACTGCATCCTGTGCAAAGATCTGCCGATATGGCTAGTGATAAATTCCTTAACCAGTCAACCAACCAACCCAACAAGTCAAGTGCAGTGATAACAAATTGATGGCGGAAATCCAGCAGTAAGTCATAAGTAGAGTAGACCCATAGAACCAGCAGGGAATTGCTGGACAACTCCTTCATAAGTTCCATGGACTCAATGGACCCACTCCACTTGCAACTTGCAACTAGATTTCAACCATTATATTTCAAGGTACTATCAGACCTCTTGGAGGTGCTTCTAGTGAAGAAAGAACAATGGCACCCAAAAATTTAATAATGATGAAATCAAAGTACTGGACATCTGTGATTTCAGACCATTTGGAAGGTACGCAAGAACTAAAGAAGAGTAACCTGAAGGAGGCAATATTTGCAAGTGCTGCTATGTAACTCCTTCGCTCTATTTGAGCATGATGGAAACGTGATGTAAGCCACATTGGGATCAATGTAAGCCTTGAGAAAGTTGAGGAGAAAATATTTTTAATTAATTAATTTAATTAATTAATTTAATTTCTGTAAACACAGATTACTGATTCTTAGAAATGGAGGAATTATGTTTATAGCATAGGCTATTTCTACAGAGCAAGAAAACTTTACCTTCAGGCCTTGTAAATTCTCTGAATGTAGGCAGTGAAATGACCGTGTGGGAAATGGTGTGAACTGGATCTAACACACAGTTGACATCATTTGGTCGGCAAGACTTAATGCAACGGACAGTATCTGTTTTCTCTTGTCGGACTCTAAATAAAAGTAGGGAAATACAAATTGAATAAAGAATGGATCATTTTGTATTGCAAAAAAGCAAACAAGCAAAGAGCACTGCAGGTACATTTCCAATCCCAATCATACTGTACTACTCACACATAAGAATTTCGCACTCTGATGATCTTTTGGACATCTGTCTGGAAGATTAATTCATTTAATTTTAAAGCAGATTGCAGTAGCTTTAGCTGTCAGTAGCACAAGTCTACAGTTTGCCTAAGTGTTTGCATTAATGGTGTGTTGGATGCCCTAATATAGCCAATGGACACCATGGGATGTACTCCAAGTAAATAGATAAAGGATTACACCGCAGGTCCTACTGATTGCACCTGCAGAAGATTAACTTAAAAGGCTACTTGTGGGTGGATTGCACTTATGTCCCCCACCTGCACCTTGTTGGTTCAAAGATACAAAATGTATAAAAACTGTTAAAATGAAAGAAAAAAAGATCACTTATTTTCTTCAGAGGAATAGTAGGCAATTCTCCTACTAAAGATGTGGCAGATTCCAACTAAAATATGCATCCCATAGAATGTAAGTAGCCATCAGCAATTCAAAGAATCCAGCGGAATGCTTTTTAATCATGCATGCATAGTTTTTAATCAGAAGAAACTAAGAGGGTGAGCAGATGGAGCTATAAAGATCACACTGGATCACACCAGAAAGGGTGGCTTTGCTGGGTGAGATCATTAAAATAACCTTTAAAGTGACCTTTATGTTCAAAAGGAACCTGGTCCTAATCACTCCAACCCACTGCAGTCCTGCTGCTGAAAAGTGCCCCTGGAGGTGGAAGAGAAACAAGGGAAGGTAGAGGAGGACAATGCTGAGGAGGTAGCAAGCATAGTGGAGGTAGAACCATGGAAAAGAGTCACATTTAGGAGTAAAAGGAGGAGGAGACTATCTTCACCAGTGGAACTCTGAAACTGCTTTAAGGTTCTTGATGAGGAGTCTCACAGACAGCAAGCAAGCAAAGTCAAAGAGGAGGCCTCGCAGGAGTATATGAGAAGGACTGAAACTCAGCTAATCACAGGCACTGAACCCACACCCTACAAAAAGAGGAAGAGAAGAGTACAGTGGTGCCCCGCATAGTGACGATAATCCGTTCTGGAAAAATCGTCGCTATACGGATTTGTCGCTATGCGGAACAAAAAAGCCCATATGAATGCATTAAAACCCGTTTAATGTGTTCCTATGGGCAAAAAACTCACAGTTATGCGAAAATCCTCCATACGGCCGCCATTTTCACTGCCCAGTAAGCGAGGAAAGGGCGCGAAAACACTGCGGGTGACCATTTTTTTTACCCGGCGGCCATTTTGGAACCACCAATCAGCTGTTAGAAAAAACATCGCTATGAAAAAATCGGTAAGTGAAACAGCTTACCGATCGTCGCAAAGCCATGTTTTACCATTTGGAACATTGCAATGCAATCACTTTTGCGATCACAAAAAAAGCCATAGCTATGAGGATTCTTCGTTAAATGGGGCGCCCATTATGCGGGGCACCACTGTAGTTGTAATAGGAGAATCCCCGCTGTGTGGGATGGAAACTGAAGTATGCCGAGAAGATCCATGGACCCGCCAAGTATGCTGTCTCCCAGATTAAGAATGTGGCAGAAGGATTGCCGTCATTCATAAAACGCACAGATACATATCCCTTTCTTCTCATCGATGTGGGAATGAACAACACAGCCAAGAGCAACTTTGAAGAGATCACAGGAGACTTTGAAGCTCTGGGAAGGACACTTAAGGACTTTGGAGCCCAGATAGTTTTCCCCACCATCTTACCAGTACTTGGAATAGAAAGGGAAAGGAAGATACTCTGGGTGAATGACTGGCTACAAAGGTGGTGTCAAAGTGAGAGATTTGGGTTTTGATACCATGCGCTAAGCTTCCTGGAAGCTGGACTGCTAGCAAGAGATGGCTTGCATCTCACAAGGATTGGGAAGAATGTGTTTCGCCACAGCATGAAGAACTTCATCAGGAGGGCTTTAAACTGAATTGGAAGGGAAAAGGAGACACGAGCATAGAGGTAAATATATGAAGTCTTACACATAATAAGAGGAATGGATCAATGGAGGTCAATAGTAACATTAACATAAATAATAATATTCATTATAACGTATAAAGAAAAGCAGACCACAAATCATACAATCTCTGGTGTCTATATACAAATATCAGGAGTATGGGAAACAAAGAAGAACTGGAAATCTTAACTTAGAAGGGTAAATATGACTTGATAGGAATAATTGAAACTTGGTGGACAACTCCCATTATAGGAATACAACAATTGAAGGATATAAATTGTTCAAAAAGAGCAGAAAGAATAGAAAGGGGAGTTGGAATATATGTCAAAAACACGCATTCATGCAAAGAAATACAGGAGGAGGAGATTGGATGTCCCATTGATAGCATCCGGATCAATGTAGCTGGGGTGAAAAACAAAATAAACATAGTAGTTGCTGTTTACTACATATAGTACCACCCAGTCAAAGAGAGGATGCAGATAAAACTTTTCAAAAACTAATTCCAAGGATTTGAAAGAGACACAATGTAGTAGTGATGGGAGATTTCAGTTATCCTGATACCTGTTGGGATGCAAATTCAACAAAGTATGGTCCTTCCAAGAAATTCTTGGCTTGTGTGGCTGATAATGTTCTCCTACAAAAGGTAGAGAAAGAGACTAGAGGACTAGTTATCCTCAACTTGATTGTAACCAATAGAGATGACTTGGTTGAGGAAGTGGCAGGAAGGGGAATTCTGGGCAAGAGTGACCATATTCTACTAGAATTCTTGATTTCAAAGGAAACCAAAGCAGAATCTAGCCAAACATATATGCTGGATTTTTAAAAAGCCAATTTTTATGAATTCAGGCCAAGGATATGTAAAGTCCCATGGCAGGGAATCCTTAAAAAAAAGGAGTCCAAGAAGGGTGGGAGTTTCTTAAAAAGGAAATTCTAAAGGCACAACTACAAACAACAAAACAAGAAAAAAAGATGGAGGTAGCAGAAAAGGCCAGTGTGGCTTCACAAAAAACTCACAGGAGACCTGAAAATAAAGTCACTTATACGAAGTGGAAAGAAGGCCATGCCACAAAGGAAGAGTATAAACAACTAGTAAGGAATTGCAGGAATGGCATTAGGAGGGCAAAAGCTGAGAATGAGCTGAGGCTAGCTATCATCACTAAAAGCAACAAAAACACATTCTTTAGGTATGGGCTTAGCAAAAGACAAATAAAAGAAACAGTGGCTCAGCTGCTTAATGGAGATGGAAAAAATGATAACAGAAGAAAAAGAAAAGATGGAAGTGCTTAATTCCTGTTTTCACACAGTCCAAAGGAGAGATTATGACTCTGCAGACAAATGTGAAGGAAAATTGGGGGGGAGGCATCTTATAAATCGGGCATATTATAAACAGAAAAATACGGTAATGTCCATACACCCACTGATGGAGAAGGATACATTCTTTGTACCCTGATAAAGATAATATAAATGA